GTTGCTCCCGCGCCTCGCTCAGCCAGTGAGCGGGAACCGGTCTGTATGTGGGATCCGAACCCTCGGGCGGGAGCGCCGCCGCGCTTCGCACTATCCAGTGCGCCACCTGGCCGGCCCCCACATAACTTTTCTAACAGATGGAACAGATGAATTTCTTGATAAAGGATCTTGGAATTTAGGTTATGACTGAGAAAGAGAGAAAAAAAAAATTATGAAAAACAATTCAGTCCTGTTCCCTAGGCCTGCCAAGAAATTTAGAGGTGAAAATTAACAAGAAGTGCCATTTCCTTGGAACTAGGGTTTATGAATATATGCACTTATAATTCCTCTTTATGAAAACCCTGTCTGCAGAGTTTGGGGGATAAAATTGATTTAACTTTTGTTACTCATAACTTTGAATTTCTATTTTTTATTATCTCAAGGCTGTTGCTTTCTAATTTATTAAAATAGCATTGTTGTAGATCACAATATTAATAGCATTAATTAAAAAACGGGGCTGGCAGGAGAGCTAAGCTGGTTAAAGCGTCGTGTTTTAACATCAAGGTCCAGGGTTCAGATCTCTGCACTGGCCAACGTCCTAAAAAGAAAAAAAAAAATGGCATTAGTACTTTGTGTTGTCAGATTTAGCAAGTAAAAATATAGGACATGCATATTTGGGAAATACTTAAACTAAAATATCATTTGTTGTTTATCTGAAATTCACATTTAGTTGGGTGTTCCGTAGTTATCTGGCAACATTTTTAAACCTGTTAAAATAAGAGTTTGGTTTTTGTTTTGTAGCCACCTACCTACTTAAGCCTTAAGAAATTTGGCCAATTTTCTTTTTCATTTAATCCTCAACTAATTAACAAACATACTTGTCAATATTGTTGATTAATTTTTTAAAAAAGTTTTCAGATTCTTTGACCTGCAAAGATTTCTAAATTGGGGGTGGAGCAGAATACAAAGAACAAAAGCCAATCTAAATATAAATAGAAAAAAAAAGATTTATAATTACATGGTTGCCATGTAATTATATGACACTGTAAATAGACTCCATTCTACTGGGCAGATGGTATTACATAGTAAAGATTTCATCATCACTAAAGTGCATTTTTAAAAAACATAGAATAAGTAGGAGAATCTCAAAATTGAACAATAGTAAGTACATCAACTATTCTTTGAACAATAGTAAGTACATCAACTACTCTAAGTGATGTCTATAAAGGAGGTTCTGTTTCAGGGTTGATACTAAGTAGCCAAAGGCTTTGTTTTCAAAAAGCTCTAATCTGAAATTTAGTAAGAACCTAATAAACCTACTGCCAATCTGGAAAGGCAGCAGCAACAGCAAACCAGTTTTCTTCTGTATGTGCTAAGTACTATATTGTCCTCTGAAGCAATTTTCTCATATATTTACAGTTTAAAATAAAATCTATTAAGGGTGAAAATTGAAAAAGCAAAGCAGAATATGTGAAGGACATATATTTAGTTCAAATTAGACATTTAGAGCTCTATTATCTTAATATTTGTTACCTAGGAACCACAAGCAAATAAGATCGTTACAATCATGGTTGATTGAGAGAAGAAAAGTCTCTACATTTAAATTCTAGCAAAGATGAAGGATTATGAAAGCAGCAAATTTGGAAAATGAGATTGCACAGTCTCCTTGTTTTCTTCTGCTTTCACTTTAAAAGAATGACTTTTAGCAATTATCAGCTGTACCCAGCTACTGTCAGTAATAACACCACACAAGACAAGAATGATAGCAATTCTGATGAAGAAGGTATAAAAGAAAATAGAACTTCACTTCTGCAAATCGATTCTGCAGTTTTCCAATTTCCCTGTTCAGTACTGGGTGAGGCTATGAAATTGACCAGAGCTATATAAAACGAAAGTCAGGAAAAATTACTTGAGATTCTCACCTTTTAGCAAATGACGTCCTTATGTATTTATCCTTCTCAGTCTATAAACAAAAGTGCTTGTTTCAATATAAATTTAATGTAATATCTACTACCCAGTTTTTAAAAATTTCTAGAACCTTATACATTGCCTATGTTTT